CTGGTTCTAAGCCAAGGAAAAGTAGAAAAGGTCACTATGTAGACTAATTTTATTTTTAAAAATCCACTTTTATATTGAAGAAAGAATATTCCTAAATAAAGGAGTTCCTTTATTCTAACATTAGATTTGGGAGCATTATATCTAAAATAGAAGCTAAATATGGCTTGGTTTCCCCCTCAGCATTCCTCTAAGATGCACTTTTAGTGCCTCTCAGTATTAAAAATTTGCATTAAATAACCTAGTACCAATCATTTAAACAAAATGTAAGTTTTTATATCAAAAACATCACCTCTTTTGCTGGCATTGCACCTTTATTTCAAGCTATGCACTGTGAAGAAAGCCCATGAAGTCTGTCCCCAGCATTGCTTTCTCACTAAGCTGAGGGGTGATTTCACTCATTTTTGTCCATCCCACCCATCCCCCAGTCCATATGTTATGTGCTTTGAGCCACTTTTTCATGTGTTTCCAGCAAGAAGACTTTAGCTTCCAGAGAATGACTTAAGTCTCAAGAAATCATCAAGAGAATTGAACCATGAAATAACATTATAGAGGGAAAAGCCTGGCACATTTAATCGTAGAGCACATTCTCCATTGACCTGTATTGTCTTTAGGGGGGTAGGGTGGAGGAGTCCTAGAAGTATTCTCAGTCATCATTATATTCATTTCTTTGAACAGATCTTGCTGTATCCATCCTTTGGTTCCCCAGACCTTCCTTTTAGTCTTCCCATTAAGCACAGAGAATAAAGAACCTGTGTGAGTTTCTCTCCTGTCGAATACATAGATTGTGGTCCTATATTAGCATCACTTAATGGGGCCAGATGATTCTGTTTACAAATTAGTTTGCTCAAGGCAAGTTCCTTCTGAACGATGAATACACTGACATTCATTTTGCTGCGGTGAAGTTATAAAGTCAGGCACCAGTGCCTGAGCTGCATCATTAAAAGTTTAAAACTTTGAAAGATCCTATCTCATTTAGACGTGGTGACAACTATGCATTTTCTTTGTCACTAGAAAGACATCCATTCATCTGTCCATTTAGAGCATTCATGAGACACTGATGGTGTAAAATCCTGGTGGCTCCTTTTCCTCTCTCTTCCATGCAGTATCCACAAAGAAGACCAGTGCAGCTGGTCCAGAAGACATCAGAGGTTTTTCCTGTTCCCTTACCACTTCTGTGCTGCTTTTTTCCTCTTACACAGTAGATTATTGTTTATTTTCCATGTAGACTTGTAAAATATTGAGGCTCTGGAATAGTATGCTACTAATACTTTGTGACTTAGTTGACAGATTGTTAGTGGCCTTTCATTTTGTTTTAGATTATGAACTTTTAGTGGTTTTGTGCAGTTATTACATACAGTAGAAAGAAGCCCCTCATGTAGGCTCTTGGATTTGGTTGATTGCGTCAAGTTACTATTCCTCCTTGTCCATGGGAACAACATAGCTCTCATCGTAATGTGGTCAGCTTGTGAGGCAGATTTCAGTCTTGCCCCTCTCAACACCAGTATTACAATAGGGTGCTTCAGCTACCAACTCATGCAGTTCGAGGAGGCCTTGGGGTTTGAACATTCATCTGGACTTTGTTTCTAAATCCTGTTTGCTACTCACCAGAAAATTCATTTTAAGTCGGCCTGTCAAACTTTGCGAAAAAGTCATGTACCTTGAAAAGCTAAGAAACCAGAATAGGCTGTTATTCATAAAGGATCATGCATTGAGTGTTTAATTTTAATGTATATTCTTTTTTTTTATTTGGGGATATTTTTATTCAATATTTGAAAATGTGCCTTTTTATTAGGTAAGGTTAATTTGTGAATGTAGTAAGTACTAAAACCATAATGGGTGCAGCATTTCTGAAATTACTAATGTGAAAGTAGTTTTCATAAAACCCCAGTGTGGCTTTGATTGCACAATTACAATACTGTCTATGCTGTTGCTAAGTCAAAGTAAGGGCACTTTCTATTTAACGCTTCTTCCAGAAATTGTCTTTGTATACTGTAAATGTAATGTAATGTCTACTTGGAGGCCAGGGTACTGCATATCGCAGGCAGCCTTAGATAAAGAAGACTGTATGCTGTGAAGAAGTGGGAGTTAGAGTATCTCAGATTACCTGTCTATGAGAAGCTGTTAATTTTTTATGTAAATCTGGAGATTTTCTCTGAGAAATTATTTTTATTCTGTTTTGCATTTTGTAATTTAAAAGTGGCTGCAGGACATTTCTGAAGTATAGTAGGAGACCAAAACACACTTGGAGAGAGAATAAATATATGAAGAGAGACTGGTTGTTTTATTATCGATGTTTGAATGTATCAGACTAACATTTGGTGAGTGGACATGATGCAATATGTTTGTATAATTGAGGGTAGCCCTAGATTTTCCTTGAGGTTATTGTTCAGAATCATTGTGTCTTGAACACAATGTGACAAATCAGGTGTAAAAAAAAAAACCCAACGAAAAACCCTTTTACATAGCTGTCTTTCTGGTGCCGTTGGAGTGCGAGAATACTTTTGCACATACCGAAAATATAGGTGAAGGTTTTTCAATTGATGTATAAAAGAAATTATAGGCATTAAAAATTTTATTTATACTTTCACTGGTTTGCTTTTATTTACCTAAAACTTGAGGTTTTCCATAGGCTACCTCTTAATTCCAGACATTTTTGCCAGATAGAAACTTCAGGGGAGCCAGAGGTCTGATGTATTCTAGGTGAGAAATCAGAAGCATAACTTCTTCCTGCCCTCACATTTCTTCCCTCTTTGACTCACTGATCTGCTGCTGCTGCTGTTTCTTGGCAGCCAGATAACACTTGTCTTCTTGACCAAAATGGGAAGGTGTACCTGAAGAAAAGGGGCAAAGCTAGGAAAGCAATGGGGTTGGGAGGTTGATGGTCCATGATAGAGGGAGGAATGGGAGCTGGGTTTAATAATGCAAAGGAGTTCTCATGGAATAAAATCAGATCATCCTTAGAATGTGAGAACTGTAGGTATGTACGTGCTCATAAGTTGCATGAAGTCTATTTTAAAAGATGAATGCTAGAGTCATGAGCTTGAAAACAGACCTTGGCGATCACCTAGTCCAAACACCCTCATTTTATAGAGGAAACTGCCCAGACAGCAGAAGAGAACATTCCTTGAATGCTTGGAACTTTGCCATATATATAGTTTTCTTCACAGATTACTTTCAGTTCCAACACCTCTCCCTCCTCTGCTTTTTTTGTATTAAAAAGGGGTGAGAGTGATGTTCATTGGGTGCAATGAGGTTGTTTGTAAATGTGTCAAGCTTAAGTATTGATCACATTTTAATATAACATTTCAGTACAAATTTTTCCAAGCTCCTGCTTTTGTTTGGTCAAAACACAACAACATGCCCATGAAACTAAGGAACTCATTATAATGGAACCCAACTTGTATTATTGTATAGGGGTCTGCAGGCCCACAAACTACCTTTATACTGATGGCAGCTGGGTGTGACAGTGGATGGTGCCTAAGACACACTTAGGAGTCAGACTGACCTGAGTTTGAATCCTGTCTTAGCTGTGTTACCCTGGGCAAATCACTTAATCTTTCTGTGTTAGTTCCTTCACCTGTAAAATGGGGATAAATAATGTCATCTACCTTATTTCCTCATATAAGGTTGTGAAGATTAAATGAGTTTAATACATAAAGCTCTTTGCAAACCTTAAAGTACCATATTAGTACTTCTATATTAGCTTTTACTCTTGTCTATTTTTAGAAAATGATACTTTTTAGAAAAATGATACTGGTTCAAAGAGTTCAGGGTAGAATTGGCCTGTAATTTCTTGCTTCTTTGTCCTGCTCCATATCAGTCCTTCAGTGTCTAGTCTGACCCCACACCTTCTCATCATAAGGACCTTGTATTCCTAGTCAGTCAAAGAGTTTCTCCGTCCTAACTTGACATATATCAGGACACACTTGAGCAACAGCAGTTGGTCTTGTGCCCCCAAAACAACTTACCAGCCCTAAGATGGATGGGTGATGCTGAAGACCAAAAGGAAATTGCTATTTCTGTGGGTGTCCTTATAATCTTGGACCCTAATGACCACATTCAGACCACAAATGGATTGTTGCCCAGTTCTGGTTACATACGTATTTTGGGCTTTCGAATCTGGTCAGTAAGATTCGGGACTAGCTTTGTGGCTACAAAATAGGTTATTCTATGGATTTTTTAAAAAGCATCCCCTTGCTAAGTAGCACCCAGCTCTGAAAAAGCAAATCATACTGCTCTGCACCTAGGCTCACGTGTTACCACTGTCTTAGGAAAACACTTCCAGCTAGCCAGCTAGCATGCTGAAAAAGTTGGTCCTGTGGGGTAGCCAGGTGGCACAGTGGATAGAGAGCTCTGGCCTTGGAGTCAGGAGGACCTGAGTTCAAATCCAGCCTCAGACACTTTATAGCTGTATGACCCTGGGCAACTCAACTCACATTGCTTCCAAAATAAAAAGATGAAAAAAGTCCACCAAAAAAAAAAAGAAAAAGTCCTGAATTCATTCCATTTTCCTTCACACTTTGATTGTGCCTCAACCTCTGCATATATTTAGGATTGCTAAACATCCCCAACCCCAGAAGAAAAAGTGTATTTGCCATGGGTTTTAAATGGCACCTCAAATACTTTCTTCTGGAAGCACATGCCACATTCATTAAAAGTCTTGGCAGAAATTACCATTGTTCAATACCTAGAGGCATTTATTTGATTAGTCTTCTAATCTTACAGGGGGGGGATGATAAGCTAGAAGAAAACCAGATCACAATTCCTGTCCCATAGCACCCTCTACCAGATGCTTCCGGGGATGAACAGAAGGTTGTGAAACCTAGAAGAACTAGCACCATTTTGTTCCCTGAGGAAAGAGCATCAGTGTAGGGACTCTGCCAGCCACCAACATCCCCCATCCACCCACACCACCACCACCACCAGTTGCGGGCTAACAGAATACCAAGTGCTCATTCGTCTTAAAAAGTTCGGTAACTTTTACATAAAATATGACAAAATCACTTGCAATTGCTTTATGTGAAACCAACAACAGGAACCGTACAGCTGGCCAGGTTTAGCTTCATAGTTGCATTGGTTCACCAGGATCTTTGCCTAGTTCCAGCTGGGTCTGGAAATAGGAAGTTGGGAGATCAGAACTGGTTTGGGGGTACTGTCTGTGTTGCAGCTGGGCTGAAGGGAAGCCTCCCCTTTAGGTTTGGTTCTCTTCAAAAGGAAAGGGCACCATGTCTATATCTCCCTTCCCCAACCCAGTGGTTCCACTCCAGCTCCAAGAAGGGAGGGACAACAAAATTCATTAGGAAAGGGTTAGAAGGCATGGGCTTTCAGGATGAGGTCAATTCCAACGAGGTTTACAAGGGAGTATAAAATTGGGGCAAATTATATTAAGGTCTTTAGCCTTATACAGAAAGGGCCTCAAGGGCACTTAGAGATACTCTCTGGTCAAGGACGGAAGTACAGTTCAGGAAGTGCGCTCCTCAATTCTGGGTCAAAGTTCACATTTGGGTCATTCTCTTAGCAAGGGATTTTCTCCTACATCATTTTAACCCATTACTTTGGGAGCCACTAATATTTCAGAATAGGGGGATGAAGCATAATGTAAAATGTGCACTTACCCCTCCTGGGGGATACTTATACCCCTTCCATATCGTTCCTGCAATAAGAACCATCCAGAAAACCACAATCATTGTGGTTTCCTTGCAGGGTAGGGGAGGTGGTGTGTGCAGTAACGATGAGTGGTTTGTGGAAGGTCAGATGTGTGATTCCCCGCGTCGCTGGAGCTGAGAAGTCCTCATCACAGAGGAAAGGGTGGGAAGCCTGGCATGGTAATTTTAATCCCTGACCGGGCAGGCCTGTGGTTTCACTTGAACTGAAGTGGTCCCTTGGGCATCACTGGGAGCATAACTGGGCCACCAATTGTGACATCTAACATGTGGCACAGAGACTGTGACTTCAGCATCCTACTCAGGAATACCAGACTAATGACAAAGGGTCAGGGCAAAAGACTGGTGTTGGGACTCAGGATGGGCTAGTTCCTGGGCAAATGACCTCTGGCTAAGTTATCCTAGCATGGCTGGAGAAGAGTTTGCTTTCCCACAGATCAGCTCCATTAAAGAAACTGCACGCATTCAGGACATAGCCAAAGTACCCCCAACCCATTCACCTGCCAACACTTTTTACCATCTGTATGAAATTAGATATCTAAGATTCTTATATGAGTGATTTAAATGGGCCAAAAACAGTCACCCTCAAAATGTCCAGTGGAAGAAACTAAGATAAATTGGAGGCCTATGAGAAGTAATTCTACCTACTTCTATGAGGCTTGGCCAAAAGGGGAATAAAAATCTGGTATTTCTGAGAATACACATTTTAAGAGTTCCAATCTCACCAGCCCAGGGTGGGAGGGCAGGGTGGAGAACTGTTCTCTAGCTGTAAAATGAGGATAAAGTGACAACTGGCCAGATGCCTGATGCCCATGGTTCATTCTCTTTCCCCCATGCAGATCTGATTTCTCAGAGGTTACTCTACCTTCCCATTACTCTGTATAATTAAAGTATAAGGGGATGAGAAGATCTTTGGGCATGGAGGTCAAAATCACCTACTGCCCTTTGAAGGATGCCATCCTGATTGAGGAGAAGAGTGAGCTATGAAATCTGGTGAATTGTTAAAACCCAGAAACCCACCACTTTATCACTGGGAACCAGCCTGGGGTAGCAGTTGTGAAAGACATCAGGGTAGGATGGGAAGAACTTTGGGCCAATGGGAAGTAGATAGGATGGGGTCTAAAGGTATAGGGAATACCTTACAGACCATGATATAACGGAAAGAGTCTCCCAGACTAGCCATCTAGAGACCTGTTTTCTAGCGCCAATTGTGCTTCACCTGCTACATAACCTTGGACAAGTCATCCACATTGGAATGTCTTTCTGCCTCAGTTTCTCCATCTCTCAAAAGAGGATATTAATACTTAGCCTCAAACAGTTTCTGTGGGGCCCACAGGCAACAAATGGATGGGATGAAAATATGTTTGGGAAATACGAAGGAGGATGACTGTGGATTCAGACTGTATCATTTAAGACTAAGGTCAGCATCTACAGGTCACTGCTTTGTCCCATGGTTTCCCCACCAAAGTGATATGTCATAATGTGTTTTTCTTTCTCTGCTTCATCAGATCAGAAAAATCACTGTACTTACTGCTTCTGGGGGATACTTATGCCATTTCCACACCATTCCTGCAATGAGAACCATCCAGAAAACCATAATCACTGTGGAATTCCTTGCCAGATAGGGGAGGTGGGATTCCCCACCAGGAAATGAGCTTCTCCAGACAATGTCTTTGTGTAGCCATATAGGGGGAAGGGAAGCATAATAGGATAAGTTGGGGGTAAGGAGAATGTGAAAGGCCTGAGTATTGACAATACTCACTTATCCTTGTCTTCATCCAAAAGCACACTTCTTAGTCGACCTTTGCGCTCACAAACAGGCTGGACAGGCTTTCTCTCTATCCATTTTAATGTTGGATGCTGGGCCAAAGGGAAACCAAGAGACAGGATCTGCTCTACCCAGAGGCAGAGGGGGCTGCCCCTTCTATGGGAAATGGTTGGGGACAGTGGGAGGGAATGGGACCGAAAGACCCTGCCTGCCCCAAACTCCTCCCTCACCAGCTCTTCATGATGGGGCTGGCCCACCCTCCTCTCTCAACACTGGGCCTAAAGTTCCCACCATTAGAGTTGCCCCAAAGGTCAAGTTTAGGAAGGTGGGGCATTCATTGACTCCTCCCTCCAAAAAAAAAAAGGTTGCCTGGGGACCAATGGTCTGCTTTGGAAGGGTAGGTGACGGTGGCAGATTCAGGCAAGGTGGATTTTGTCTCTTCACAAGGTTGGCAAGGCCCCTCCTTCTCCCTGCCCACCACCCCCAGGATCTTCAGAGGCTAGTGCAATAGCTACTTACCACTGCTTTAGGAAATGCCCCCAGGTAACATGCAAGTCCAACAAAAAATATCCAGCCAACCACAATCATGATAGAGGAGTTATTTTTTGGAGCTTCTGCACTCCAAACATGGGTGCAGACAGAGATTATTCACCAAGACCTCGTTTATGAACTGTCCTCATCAAATTCTCAGTTGTTAGAAATTTCATATGTCAGTTCCAGTCCCTTCGGGGCTCCAAAGGCCCCTCTGGCTCACACGTGCAAGGGTCAGGCCTGAGGGCATTGTGATGTCACTGGTCACATGGCCTAGGCTGCATGACCTCATCCCCACCCCCCACCCCAAGAGAAGCAGCCTAGCTGGGGATGGAGCAGCCAACCCATCCAATGCTGTTAAAGAAGGAGCTCCCCATCCCACTCCCTACTCGCTGTGGGGTGAAGGGGAGTGCTGGAGTCATGGGGTTCTCAGTTTGAATCAGCTGTGCCACTTAGCTGTGTGACCTTGCCACCTATACCCCCTCTGGGGTGAGGTGATGTAGTGAGCTTTGGAGTAATGAGTTCTAATTAGCATTGCCACTTGAACAAATCTCTGGACCTGGTTGGATTGGACTAAATAAGGGAGGGGAAAAGGGAAGAGGAAGAAGTCTTTCTAAAGCACCTAGTAAGAAACTGTCATTATAATTGGACCCTACCTTGTGAACCAGATCAATTACTATTCTCTATTTTGTGCTGCTTCTTGTAAAAACGTGCTGTCTGGTAAACTTGGGGGTGGGGCACAAACAACAGAGTTCCCTATTCCCCAAATGCGCTTATCACAAGGCTGAGACAGGGAGCTGGTGCGCAACAATACTCTGGGCAAAATGGAATGTTCCAGCCACTGAATTCTTTGTTCTATCCACACCCTCCCTGTCCCCAAACATTCCGACCTCAACATCTTTGTTTAACTTCTCTTGTCAAACCTCAATTTCCCCGTTCTGATCAATCAAAAAGAAGCTATGCTTATGTTGCCTAAGATTATGTAAACAAGCTATGTTCCTCATTAATGACTATAGAGATAGTCTGTTAGCCCTCAAGGCGTGTCCTTGACTTCTGAGGAGCCTGGGATCCCATTTGTGGGTAATTGCTAACTTTGCTAATAAATTGATCATGCTGAGAATTTTGTTGCCTCACTTTATCTTTATCTCAGATTTCTATTGTGACACTGATGTGTGCCAGGCATAGTGCTAAATTCTTTACAAATATCTGATTTGACCCTCACAACAATCCTATTAAGTGCCATTATTTGCCCCATTTTTAGTTGAGGGAACTGAGGCAAACAGAGGTTAGTTAAGTGATGTGTCCTGGATCACACAGCTACTGTCTGAGGCTGGATTTGAATTTAGGTCTTCCAGACTCCAGGCCCATCACTCTATCCACTGCACCACCTAGGTTCCTTCTAGCTCCAGAGCTATGACACTATGATCTTTAAACTAACTTCTTTGCCTATGTCCTGTTTCATTTTGGACCGGCCCCTCCCCCAACCTTCCTCTGCACTCTCTTAAAGGAATCTTCAATCTGTTTTCCACCTGGCTCTTTCCTCTCAAACACATTTAAGCCTCCCCATTTGGGGTTGGGGGGGAAGAGAGGGACAGAAAAATAGCTTTGAATTATTTTTACTTTGTCTCAGAACCTAATTATTTCCTCTTACAAACAAAATTTTCAAAGGAGTGGTCTAGGATCCCCTGACTTTATTTCCTATTCATTCACTCCTTATTCCTTTTGATTTCATTCCTACCACGAGCCTAGAAATTCTCTCTAAAGTCAACTAGGACCTCAAGGTCCAGTTCCCAGTTCTCATCTTCCTTCATTTCTATAGCATTTCTCATTTGTCAACCCCTTGGTCAAGATCCTCTGTCCCTTGACATTCCTTCATTCATTACTTCATTCAATAACATTTATTAAAAGCTTCTACATCGTGCAAGGTACAACACTAAATTCTGATAATACAAAGAAATAATTAAACAGCCTCATCCTCAAGGAATTTATATTCTACTGGCTTCTATGACACTGCATCCTCTTGTTCTTTTTAATCCCATATTCCCTTTTCTGGTTCCTTTGCTTTCTTCCTCCTGCTACCCCTCCTAATACAAGCTCCCTATCTTTGGTTTTCTCTTTTCTATCCATAATCTCACTCAGTAGGAGTTTGTCCTTAATCACCAGGCTTTAAGTCTCCTATTAAGATGACTTCCCAAATTTTATCTCCACCTTGACTTCTATTCCCATATCTCCAGTTGTCAATCTGACATTATTTCACTTATTGATGAATGAATCAATGAATTAGTGGATGAATAAAAAAAAAACCCCAAAACATTTATTAACCATATTCAATGTGCCAACCACAATGTGGATGCAGGTACAAAAGCAAACAGTTCCTACCCTCAAGTAGGGTATTGCAATTGTATTCTAATAGATAGATGTTATAGCTATCTATCTATCAATCTATCTATCTAAGAGATGGTGACCAGGAAGTGATATTTTGGTTTGGAAAATTGCTGGGATGGTGAGTTTAGCTAGAGGGGAGCAGATTGACACATCCTTTTCCTTAGAAGTGGCTATGTTGATTTTATTATGGTTCTAGTCCTGAAAGCAGTAGGGGTGTGTAGAGGGCATATGCTGCATTAAGGGAATGTGCACTGGGAAGTCAATTGAGGAAGCATGGCTGGGACCTGTCTACATGTCAAACAGATTACATCAAATGCACTGGGATGATGGTTAAATCTTCAAGCCAGGGTGTAAAAGATAAAAACATTGACTTAGCCCGGATGCTAGCTACTCTTGGGATTGAGGGACTTTCCTTCTGGGATTTCCCCTCAGGCCTTCCTTTCTAAACAAGTGATATCTATCTGGGAATTATGGTATCCTTTACGTTTTCCATTACTGTCGATGGAAAAAAAAATCATTCTCCGTATTGTCAATTAAAAAAACCCCCACAATCTATGAAGTGCCAGACAATGATGTGCAAGGTTGTACACATATTCTCCTGGACCATCATTTCTCCCGAGGACAGTTTCCAGTCTGCTATATGCTTATAGTCCCCTGTAGAGTCGAATTGTAGTTCCATTAACACTTAGGCTCCCCTAAATAGGGGATACATATGTAATTTACGTTCCATTAAGAGGTAAACTGGGCGGCTAGGTGGCTCAGTGGATACAGCACCCAGCCCTGAAATCAGGATGACTTATCTTCCTGAGTTCAAATCTGACCTCTGACATTAGCTGTATGACCCTGGGTAAGTCACTTATCTCTGATGGCCTCAGTTTCTTCATCTGTAAAATGAACTAGAGAAGGAAATGGAAAATCACCACAATATCTCTGCCAAGAAAATCCCATTTGGGGATCAGGAAGACTTGGACACAACTGAAAAAACGACTGAAAGGATATTAAAACAAACAAACTGCATCCTGCGTGGCACATTAAGCTAATGCTAAGTCAGTATGCCAAGGGGCAGGTAAATACCAAGGCTACTAGCCAGCAGATGGAACTGTTCTAAGTGCGGACCAGCCGCGCTTCGGCCGCGGCCACGTGCTCCACTAGGTGCACCAGCCGGCGCTCTACGCTTTCGTCGGGGGCGGGGCCGCGGAGCAGCGGGGTTAGACCCTCGTCGGCCGCCGTCGTAGGGCGGACCCGGAAGACACCTGGGCGTTGGAGGCATTCATTGAGGAGAAGGCAGTCTGCCTCGAGATGGAGTTCGACAGCGAGAGTCTGCGGAGGCAGCTGAGCAAGGTGCGGAGCCGAGGCGTCCCGGAGTGGGGCGCGGTGCGGAGGGCGTGCAGCGACGACGGCTGGGGCGAGGCTGGGGGCGGAGGCGGAGACCGGGGCGGGGGGCCGCCCACCCCCGTCCTTGAGTCTGCGTTCGGGGGCACGGGGCTTGGAGCCGGGGAGGCCCGTGGAAAGCCTCGGCCGAGCAGCCCGGGCCGTCCAAAAGCCAGCCTTTTAAATGTGGTCTTTTACATCGATGTCGTTTCCCACCTTTGGCCCAAGTGAGCAGAGTCAGTGACTCAACAAGCAAGTATTAAGGGCATACTACGTGTCAGCTAGTCACCAAGCGTTTAAGCACCGGCTAAGTACCACTCAGTAATCATTGAGTAAACTGACCAAGTAGCAGGATATATTAAAGGAAGGGAGGGAGGAAGTGGAGTCCTACCACAAAGAAGGCGTCCCCTCCCCCCACCCCAAGCCCCCAAGACCCGGTCCCTGCCCTCCGGGAGCTCGCTGTCTAGCGGGGCGGCAACATGCAGACCTCTGGGGGCAAACAGGATATTCTCGGCATGAACTGGAGGGAGTCCACCTCGGGAAGGCCCTGGCGTTGAGGGGATTGGGAAAGACTTCCAGCGCGAGGTGGGATTTTAGCTGAGACTCGGAGGCAGGGAGTCAGAGATGGGGAGGGAGAGAATTAAGAGGCTGTGGACAGACGTCAGGTGTAGACTGGAAGGGGCCGGGTGATGGAGGGCTTTAAAAATCAAAGACGGTTTGATATTTTATCTTGGAGTTTATTGGGGATGAGGGGTGTGACAGCTGAGTGGAAGTTAATAACCCGGAGTTGGGAAAGACTTAGGGAAGACCCCCTACCAGAAATCTGTTGCACTAGTCTGGTCCCGAGGTGATTGGAACCTGCGCCAGGGTGGTGGCAGTGTCAGAGAAGAAAAGGGAGCATATATGAAAGATGTTATGAACGTAAATTTATTTTTTAAATTAATTTATTTTTAGTTTTCAACATTCGTATGAAGGTAAATTTAATAGGAGTGGCAACAGATTGGATGTGGAGGTGATAGCAAAGAATTGAAGCGGGCACCTAGGTTTTGAGCTTGGGTGATTGAAAAGATAATGGTCTCAACTGGTAATAGGAAAATTAGGAAGAGGGAGGGAAGAAACAAGAATTTATTAAGTCCTTAGTATGTAGCAGGCACTGTGTTGAGCTCTGCAGATAAATACCAGCAATAAGAAAGCCAGCCCCTGCCCTCTAGGAGCTTACAGTCTAGTGGGGGAAAATAACACACTAAAGGGAGCTGAAAAAACTTCGGGGAGGGTGAAGATTAAGATATCTGGGGAGGGGGCACAGTTTTAAAATCCTGAGTTGGGCATCAGGCCTGACGGGGCATGAAGGTTGACTTTGAGCCCTTCAACAAAATGGAGGCCCCAGCAGGAACTTGCAGAAGGGGTTGGGCCTTCCAGAGGGATAATCTAGAAGGAATAGATGAGAGAATAAGGAAACAAGGTAGTTTCAGCAATCTAGAATGATAAAGTAAATGTTAGGGTGAAATCCTGGCCTGGTTCAAAAAAATCAACCTTATCAGTACAAAAGTGAAAATATCTCAGGGTTTTAGAGGATTACAGTATTTAGTGAGTAAACAGTGTAACCCAGAAGCCAAATAAATCAATCTTAGGCTGTATTAAGGGCTTGTGGTAAAAGATGAGGAGTTCAGTTTTAGACATGTAGAATTTAAGATGCCTATGGGATGTCCAGTTTTAGATCTCCAAAGGCAATTGGAAATGAAAGACGAATTCAGGGGAGAGGTTAGGGCTGGATCAATAGATGTGAGAATCATCTACATAGAGATGATAGGTGAATCAATGGGAGCTGATGAAATCAAGTGAAATAGTGTAGAGGACTAGTTACTATTTTATTGCAGGATAGAGCCTTGAAGGACATTCCCAATTAGCAGATGAGACTTGGATGAAGACCCAGCAAAGAAGACTAAGAAAGAGTGGTCAGACAAGTTAGGAGGTGGGAAGGAAAGAAAATAATTCTTGTTAATTGAAAAAAATTAATTTAAAAAACCTATTAGAATAGCCATTTAAAAAAAAAGATGAGCAAGTGGAGGCACTGAGTGTGGATGGCTTTTTCTCAAGGAGTTTAACTGCGAAGGGGAGGAGAAATATAAGATAGTCTGGATGATTGGATCAAGTAAGAGTTTATTAAGATGTGGAGACATGAGTATATTTTAAAAAGCAGAGAAGGAGCCAGTAGACAGATTAAAGATTAGAGAGAGTATGGATAATATCTAGGGAAGATCTCCCTAGATCTCCCATCTCAGAAGATAGGATCAAGAGTGCGCATAGAGAGGTTTACCTTGGCAGGAGAAAGGCCACCTCTTAATTTTATGCAGGGATGGTGGACAAGATGGTGGAGGTTAGATGTCTGAGTATTGTGAGAAGAGGAGGAGAGAAGGGGGAGCTCTATGGCTTTAATTTTTTTCAGTGAAGCAGAGTAAATGGAGAGGGTAGGATTAGGGGCTGCCGTGGGAGGCTTTTGAGGAGGTATGTATAAAAGAAAAGGCTTGGAACAGTTGATGATGTGAATGGGACAGTGAATCAGTTATGAAGATGTAAAAAAAACCTGATAACTTTATGGTCAAAGACAGGTGGTGCAGGTGGGGTGAAGATAGTAGCTGAGAAATTTGTGACTGGGACCTAGGTCTATTTTTTTTTTTTTGGCAAGGCAGTAGGTATAGAACACTGGGTTTGGAATCACAAAGACACATCTTCATAAGTTCAAATCCAGTATCAGTCACTTCCTAGATAAGTGACCCTGGGCAAGTCAGATGGAGGGAGTAATCCAAGGCTGGGGTTGGCAAGGCATAATTGATGATAAGATGGAGTGGCAAGGAATTTGAGTCTAAAAGATAGTGTACAGTGGAACTGGTTCACCAAGGTATCGAGATAGGGAAGGGACAGGAAAGTAGCAGATGTATAGGTGATGGCCTGGAAAAGAACTGAGGGGTAGAGGGATTTGGGAGGGAGCATCAGTATATACCTTGAAGTCCCACAGCACGAGGAGGAGTTGTGGTGGAAACTCTTAAGCCAGACACTGAATTCATTGAACAATAGAGGGGAATACCATGGGTGCAGATATATATGAACTACCAGAATCTGGATTGGGTGTTAAATTTGGATAGCATGAACCTCAAAGTAGGAGAAGTTGCTGAGTGATAGCTGTAGGAGAGTCTGGTAGTGTTGGTGGGAAACAAGAAGTATTCTGATTCTCTGACCTTGGTATGATTGAAAATGCTACTAATATTGGAAAGGGAGCTGTGTCTTAGAGAGTTCTAGAAAGTGGGAAGAGTGAGGAGAATAGTTTAAAGTGGAAGCAAGTCAGTTATGGAGCAGGCCTTCTAGAAAACAGTGGGAAACAGTGGGCAGATCTGGAATAGGACGTTGAGGGAATAGGAATTAGGAATAGGTATGGGGAGGTGGGGTGCGGAGGAAGGTTTGTACACAGCTAGGGGCTCAGAATCACTAGTATGTGAAAGATGTAAAGGGATGGGAGTATGCCAACCATTGAGGAATGAGTCCAAGCAGAGTATTGGTGGGTGGAAATAGGTTCCCTGAAAAAGGTAGCTGACTAGGTTCCTCAACTTCCTCTGGCAAGGTTCAGTTTCATAGCAGGTGGTGATACTGTATTTTAGGAGGGCTGCCTCATAGAAGGCAGCAATTTTTGGAGGTGTGGCCCAGGTGAATCCAGTCAGGAAGTAGGCCAAAGAAGGGCTGTGTGGATGGAGCTCTGGTGGAGGTTAGCTTCTGGAGAGAGGGAAAAGGCCCAGAAGCAAGGACAGAGGTGCCTGGTTTGGGGGTGGAGCAGAGCACTGGGGAAGTTTTGCCTCAAAGAGGACAATTTCCATCTGATAGTAGCTGAGAAATTTGATTGGGATCTAGGTCAATTTTTTTTTTTTGGCAAGGCAGTCAGAGTTAAGTGACTTGCCCAAGGTCACACAGCTAGTAAGTGTCAAATGTTTGAGGCCGGATTTGAACTCAGGTCCCCCTGACTCCAGGGCTGGTGCTGTATCACTGCACCACCCAACTGCCCCTGATCTAGGTCTTTTTTAAGGCATGTTCTACCTCTTTGGCCAGAACATGTCATTCCTGTATAGCCTTGGTCCAGAAGTTCAAGTCTTGTTTTTAGATACTATCTCCTTTAACCAGCTGTTCACTTCCTAAATCTGCCTTTTTTCTGTTGCACCTATTTTTGATCAGCAGCAGAGATAAAAGCACTATCCTCCTTTGGTCTTTCATTTCTTGGCCAAGACTTTATCATCTTTAGCAGTGCTCTCAGGATTGCTCTGGCAGTCTAACTTGTGTCTGTGTAGTTGTCATCTAGTTGGACAAGTTTTGGGAGATTCTTTGTCATGTCCTGAATTTGTGACTCAGGAAGACAGCATACCTCTCTATTGTTATCAGGTCAACAAATAGCTTCATTAGTACTCTTTTGCAAGGAGTCATATACCACTACTTCTTATCTCTTCTTCTGACTCATGGAATCTTCTTGTGAAGCCAAATCATCCTTCACTGGAAGATAAGCAACTGCCTTCTCCTCAGAAGGTTCAGCTCCCCTGTCTCTACTTACTGCTTTGCTCCAAGTGTTTGTTGCTGCTTCTTCCCTTCTTCCTTGTCATCACATTCTTTTACCCTCCAGCGTCCTGACTTGTCCAAGAGGCCCTATGTCTGTGTTTTCACATCTGTTGGATTCTTTATTTGCACAGTGAAGCCCTTCTATTTTTTAGGGACACTTGCCTGGATAATCTAGGCAACAGGCATTCCTAGAGCCTTTTTACCTTCTCTTCTAGAAAGGAAACCTGGTCTCTTGGATGTAGCAGAAATACAAACATTGCCTACTCTCTCTGTGCACTTGATAATGTTTTTATCTTTCCAAGGTAAACCCTAAATCCATCCCTTTAAGAACTCTTCCATAATTGGCCTAGGTATACATACCTTATGCCAGCTGATAATGTTCATCTGGCCCTTGCTTTTATAGGTTTGTGATTTCACTACTTTGGTTATTTGCTGCAGCAAATACAGTCTGTCTTATACAATTCCTGGCTGTATCCTCTCGTAAATCCTGTAGGTAGCATCCAGCATTTTAGAAACTCTCCTCTAGGTTTTTAACATTCTTTTGATACTGGTATAACACTTATTCTGTATGTCTGTTACCCTTTCCTCTTAGTACGTGACCGGCCGAACTGTTTTTGCAGTCATACCTCTCTTGCATGATATATTTTAGGCCACTTTTTATACCAAGTCATCATTGGTAATATTTTACAGCCCACTTAAAACTACCATCAGTCTCTCTCTTCTGCTTCTTTTTGTCACCCACAGTTTTGAGTTTTTGGAGATTATAGTGTTTAATGACTTGTAGCCATAACAGTATTGCCAGAAGAACATTGGTATTGGAAAAAACAGTATTTTCTGCCAGACGGTATTTGGGGATTATTAAAATTACTGCAATTTCCAGAAGCATTTTGCCCTATTCACTTCCTCCTGTTCGGATGTTGAAGTAGCTCACTAGCAGTTCTGTAGTGTCTAAAATAAATACAACATTGTGTTTTTCTCGTGCAGCTGCTTGTTAAAGCCCGGTCAATAGGCATTTTCATCCATTTTGTTTTCCTTTGTAGACTGTTAGATTAATCTGTTTTGAGTGGCCATGAATTTCATCAAGGAAGTACTATAGGATTCTGGATGAAAAAAAAAGTCTTTATACTTAGTTACATGCGTATTTCATCTAAGTTTGTGATTCTACTTACTGTTATATCGGTGTTGGTCTTTCCTACTCTGTAGTATTACTCTCTTAGACCTACATAACATTTCACAGCTTATCCTTTCATGTTTGTCATCTCATTTGAGCTTTGTGGCCACCTTACAAGGTAGGTAAGTCAGGGATATCGCCATTTTAACAGATGAGGAAAATGAAAGTGGAATAAAAGGAAAGGAGGAAGAAGATAGAATAAAAAAAGAAAATGAATATGTGATAAAGAGTGGTTACTGCCTCTAAAAATTACCTCAGAAGCTACACAGTACATAGGTATCATAAGATTCAACATCATCTAATCTGAATTCATTTTTTCCCCAACCGCAAACCCACCCCTGCTCTGTATACACCCTGTAGGCAGCTGTGGAGCCCCCAGCTAGCCAAGTATCTGGTCTCTGCATGCTTAGTAAATTTTAGTTGAGAGCAACAGTCTTGGTTATGATTTCCTTCTAATTTGGGGCTGTAATTTTTCTTTCTTTTCAGTACAAATTCAGGGATCTAACAGTGGAAGAATTAACGAAAGTAAATATGTCCTATCCAAATTTCAGATTCTCCATGGACACTTATGGTAAGAACCCCTTTTGTGTGTGTGTGTGTGCTTTTCTGAGTGTTGCTTTTAGACTTTTGAACTTAATATAATTTCTCTTTTTTTTACCATCTGATTTTCAATTTAACTATTTGTGTTCTGTGGTTTCCAAGGAACATATACTGTATGGTTTCTAAGTCAACACAGTTCATGTTATTAGTCTTGCTTGCTACTAACTTTTTAGTGAATTTGTATCACATTTTGTATCACTTAAGAGCAGGTTTGTGAATAAATGTTCTGATCCCAGTCTCCTGTCTTTCCATCTTTCTTATTGCCTAACTCTCCTAAGCCTGTTCTGTTTGCTGTCTCTCTTATCGTCTCTCCTTCCCTCCCTATTCACCTAGACTCTCACTGCCATTTTGGTTTCATTTCCTTTCTACGGTCTTGACTCTACAGTACGGCATTTCAGTAATGTACTGTGCCATTTGCTTGGAATGTATGCATTCCTGCCATCTCCTGGCCTCCAACTTTCAAGGCCCAGCTTAGATGGCACCTGTCCATGAAATCCTCTCCAGTCCCCCTGAAAGTAATTGCTCTCTTGTTACATTTCTTAGGCCACTGTGACTAGATTCCTTTGCTTTGATAAATCTTACCTTTCATCATTTATATCCTGTTCCCTTTGAAGTGTAAGCTCCTTAAGGGCAGGAATGAAGATTTTTCTTCTTGTATCCCCAGTGCTTAGCATAGTTCCTTGCACATACTAAGTATTTAATAAGTGTTTGTTGAATTGAATTATTTAAATTTACCTGAATACTTCTTTGCTTGTGGGGATACCAAAAAGATAGCTAATTCAGAGTCCTGCAGGGCGATGCTGTCAGAAATACTGCCTACTTTTCAAATGCATGTTCATTTTTCACTTGTGTTTGTAGCTTTTGTACATGTGGCACTAATTAAAGTGGGTGGAGCCCCTGGAACCAGGGTTGCTGTTTATTCCACATAAGAATTTCCTGGAATAAATCTTATTTTCAGAGTGATGGTTTATTGCTTCACTTTCATCTTAATTCATCTTCCCGCAAAGATTTTTTTTGTTCTGTTTTTTGCTTTGGATAGGCAATGGGGTTAAGTGACTTGCCCAGGGCCATGCAGCTAGTAAGTGTTATATGTCTGAGGCTGGATTTGAACTCAGGTCCTACTGAATCCAGGGCCAGTACTCTATCCACTGCACCACCTAGCTGCCCCTAACATATTCTTTTTTTTTTTCTCCTTTTTTGGTGAGGCAATTGGGGATAAGTCCCACAAAGATTTTAAAAAGATTAAGATTAACATTAGCAATCATGGTCCAGACTTTAATTTCTATTTTGATATAGCAGTAATAATGTACTGACATCTTCTCAGTCACCCTGGCTCATAATCTCTGATCCTCCACTTATTACTCTCTCTCACCTCTATATCTAATTTGTTGTTAGGTCCTATCTATTCTGCCTTCACAACGAGTCTTGAATATGCCCCTTCTCTCTTTTGACACCAACCATGCTGGTGCTGGCCTTCATCACCTTTAGCTTGTATTATTTCAGTAGTTGGCTGGTGGATCTGCCTGCCTCCAGTCTGTTCCCACTTGAGTCCATTCTCCATTCAGTTGCCAAAGTCATCTTCCAAAGGTGTAGATCTGACCATGTCAGCCACCTTCATTTTACCGCCAAGATCAAATATAAAATCCTCCATCTGATTTTTAAAGCCTTTCATAACCTGGCCCTTTTCTGGCTTTTTTAGCCTTATTCCACTTTCCTTCCCTCCTTGTATTCTATGATTCCAGTGGCATTGGCCTCCTTGTTAGTCTTTACACAAAGCACTGCATTTCCCAACTCTGGACATTTTCACTGGCTGCCCTCAGATGTTGGTTATAATCCAACCTTTTTCAAGAAGTCTTTCCTGATCCCCTTTAATGCTAATGTCTTTCTTCTGAGATTACTTCTAATTTACCTGGCATATATCTTGTATAAATATATAATTGTTTGCATGTTATCTCTATCATTAAAATATGAGCTCTTTGAAGGCAAGGGCTATTTTTGTCTTTCTTTGTATCATCAGCACTTGGTATAGTGTCAGAGCATATAACAAATGATTAATAAATGCTTCCTGACTTGGATGATAATAAATCTTAAAATTTCTTTACACTTGCAGAACATCATCCTGCTTAGTTAAAACATTTACTGCAAAATTTCCCTCTTATTATTCGCTCCTTAAAATTCTCTTTTTGTCCCTGAAATAACATTTATTGACAGCAGCATGTATTCATTCACATATTTACCTATCCATGTATTCAAGTTAAGCATTTTTATTTATGTTTATAGTGGGATTACAGTAATATGTGTCATCTAAACTTCCTCTTATTCATTCCAGGTATTTCTCTGTCATCTGATACTGATTATCAAGGCTTCCCTCTGATTAAGACCTAAGCAACCCCAACAATTTATATAGGGTTATTATTTCCTGATCAGAATCAGATTCTTTTCATTGTTTAAATCATTCACAGTGTCACCTAAGAAAATTTATAATTTTGCATATGTTTGTCTTACTGGTTTCTATAGTTTTATATATAGTTCTGTAGATTCTATACATTTCTCAGTGTCTTGTATAATATTTACAAAGTTAAACAACAGGGAAGATACTAAAATACTTTATTTACATGTAAAAAAGGAATTTATATACATATAAGAAAAGTAGGATACCTACAACAGAAGAATTCCATGAAGCATACCATCGCCTGCTTCTTAATAACTAATACAATACTGAGCTAACTGGAACCTTGCAAAAGTCTTCTTCTTTCTAGAGCAGAATTCATTGAAATGAGCCTATAACTGACCCCAGACAAATGGTTTGGTTATTAAAATAACCAAAATATTTCATTTAAGACAGTTTCATGATGACTCTGAGATAGAACTGTTATAAGAAGGCTTTAATATGTATTGGCCATAAACAAAAGACAGATATGTAAACCAGGAAGAACCAGTAGACTTAAGCTTTCCAAATAATAAACTTCAACCCTAAAAGCTCTTTGAAAAAGCAAAAAAGAAACCAGAGTTACCATGTAATAGAGGACCATTTTAAAAGACTTAATCACTGACAGGCTATGAGATTGGTTTTGAGAGTCATCAGTTTGAATAATATGTGACTGTCAAGTATTTGCCACACAATTGTGGAGTGAATTATTTCTTTATATGGTATGGGCCCTTGGAGATACCAAGGCTGAAAGTGCCGATTTTTGGCAGCAACACTAGGATGAATGCCTGTGATAATATGAACCTGTTCTAGTTCTGCCTCTATAATATGCTAGACTTTGGCTGACAGTATGAAATTCTTACACATTTGACTAATTTACCACCTGCAATTTGGACAGTTTTGGTTTAGCTGAATGATATCTACTAGTTCCCTTGTCCACATGTTTATTGACTGCTAGACCATAATCTTCAGATAATTTGTACTTCTTTTATTGTGGATTTTCTACTTTTAATTTTATGTTTTCTTTTTTTTCAGTTTTCAAAGACAATTCTCAGAAAGATCTATTGAATTTTACTGGCACTATTCCTGTGAACTGTCAAGGTAAGAGTAACAACCCCCAAAATGGGATGTTCTTTAAGTATCAAAGTATTCATATTATCATACTAACCTACATAGGTAGGCGTAGTACTTTCAGGTTTACAGAGTGCTTGCAATTCTATTTTCTAATTCAGTCATCATGGAAACTTTGTTAAGTAGTCAGAGGAAGAAATTTAGGCTCAGAGATATGCCTTGCCCAAGGTCACAGAGTTAGTATTAGTAAATCGTGGAGCATGGGCTCAAACTCAAGCCTTTTCATGGTCTGGAAAAGATACTATAAGATCTAAGTCTAAACCATTTAGTTCTCTTGCTCTGTTCTGTATAGCTTAGTAAATGAGGGTGTTCTGAAACCAACAGCCCTATCATTGCAGTCAGATCAGCTTCCTTGCCCTGGTACTAATATTAAATGACATATATTTTCTTTCTTTTTTAAAATTTATTAATTTATTTTTAGTTTTCAGTATTCACTTCCACAAGGTTTTGAGTTTTACATTTTCTCCACCTCCTCCCCCCCAAAATGGCGTGCAATCTGATATAGGCTCTGCATATACATTCATATTAAACATTAGTCATGCTGTAAAGAAGAATTAGAACCAATGGGAGGAAGCACAAGAAAGAAGAAACAAAACAAAATGAAAAAAAGAGAGAGCAAATAGTATGCTTTGATTCAGACTCCATAGTTCTTTCTCTGGATGTGAATAGCATTTTCCATTGTGAATCTTTTGAGTTGTCTTAGATTCTTGCATGGCTGAGAAGAGCTAAGTCTATCAAAGTTAATCATCACACAATGTGGCTGTTACTGTGTACAGTGTCTCCTGGTTCTGCTGACTTCACTCAGCATCAGTTCATACAAGTGTTTCCAGGTGTTTCTGAAGTCTTCTTGCTCATCATTTCTTGTAGCACAGTAGTATTCCATTACATTCATATACTACAACTTGTTCAGCCATTCCCCAGTTGATGGGCATCCCTTCAATTTCCAATTCTTGGCCGCCACAAAAAGAGCTGCTATAAATATTTTTGTACATGTGGATCCTTTTCCCATTTTTATGATCTCTTTGGGATAAAATCCTAGAAATGGTATTGCTGGGACAAAGGGCATGCACAGTTTTATAGCCCTTTGGGCATAGTTCCAAATTGCTCTTCAGAATAGTTGGATCAGTTCACAACTCCACCAACAATGCATTAGTGTTCCAATTTTCCTACATCTTCTCCAGCATTTATCATTTTCCTATTTTGTCATGTTAGCTAATCTGATAGGTGTGATGCAGTACCTCAGAGTTGTTTTGATTTGCATTTCTCTAATCAATAGTAATTTAGATTCTTCTTTACAACATCACTAATGTGAAAATAAGTTTAACAGGAATATATATGTATAGTCTGTATCAGATTGTGCATTGTCTTGGGGAGGGAGGGGAAGAAAAATTTAAAACTCAAAACCTTATGGAAGTGACTGTTGATAAATCAAAATAAATTAATAAAAAATAGTAATTTAGAGCATTTTTCATATAACTATAGATAGCTTTAATTTCGTCATCTGAAAACTGCCTGTTCATATCCTTTGACCATTTAATTGACATATTTTCAAGGTGCTGTTGAATCCATAGAAATTAGAATGTGTCTGTGTGTCTAAGGCCTCAGAGAAGCCCAAAAGATTTTGAGTTCTTCTTTTCTCCTTCATTTGTGTGTGAGCCTGTACTTTACCGACTTAAGGGAATAGATTCATTTTCTCTAATTTTGCAGCAGCGATCATCCACTTTTTACTTAAGTGCCAACTCATTCCCCTGAACATGTAAGAGATGCTTTTCCTTCTCTCTCCTTCTTTCTGGTTACGAATAGGTGGAAGGTGTGTGTGAAAGATGGCCAGCAAGGGCTTGAAATTATTAGTGATGACAGTGATTTCATAGAAATGTGGAGAGTGTCAAGGTTATGAAGTCTGTGAAATTGGGTTTTTTTTTGTTTTAATTTTTTATTTTGAGTTCTAAGTTGTCTTCCTCTCTCCCTCCCAACCCTGCATCAGAGAAGTCCAACATTTGATACATAGATATCCATGTAGAACCATACAATACCTACTTCTATATATCAGTTCTTTCTCTGGAGGTGATAGCATTTTCCTTCACAAGTCCAGTCCTTCATAGTTGACTTGAATATTCATATTACTTAGAACAGCTTAGTCATTTACAGTCTTCGAACAGTATTGCTGTTACTATATACAACATTATCTTGGTTCTGCTCATTATTTCATGCAAGCCTTTCCATGTTTTTCCAAAATCAACCTGCTCATCATTGCTTACAGCACTGTAGTATTCCATCACAATCATGTATCACAACTTATTTAGCCATTTCCCAATTGATGGTCATCCTCTCAATTTCCAGTTCTTTCCCACCACAAATGAAACCATTGACTATATACCTCAGGTTAAAATCAATCCCTCTCTAGCCAAACTTCCGACTGAAGAAAAGGTTGGTTTTGAATGCCATGCCATTAGGTTCCTCTCATGCGGCAAAGTGCCATTGCTGATTCTATTTCAGCTGAGATTTACAAGGTAGGAGGTCCGCTGCCCATACAATAGCTGACTGTAATTTTCCAGGTTACGTGGCAAGAGAAGATTATCACTCAGGAGTTCAGGGATTTCTCCATTGTTCATCTCTGTAAAGGAAAAGGAAATAGATTGTCCTGTGACAATCACAGAGGGGTCTCTCTCTTAGTCACTGCTGGCAAGACTCTTGCCAGAGTCCTCCTTAATAGGCTGATCCTTCACCTGGAAGATGGTCATCTACCTGAGAGCCAGCGTGGCTTCAGAAAGGGCCAAGGAATGGTTGCTATGGTGTTTGCTGCCCCACAACTCCAGGAGAAATGCCAGGAGTAGAACAGAGGTCTGTACGCAACATTAATACGTTGTGTACATAATGCACTAAGGCTTTTCTTCTTTTTTTTTTTTGTTAGGCAATGGGGTTAAGTGACCTGTCCAGGGTCACATAGCTAGTAAGTTACACTAAGGCTTTTGATGCTGTCGGTCGTGAGGGCTTTTGGAAGATCATGAAATATGTTTGCTGGGAGAAATTCCTCAGTACACGATGACACTCTTGCCCGGGTTCTGGATAATGGATGATGCTCTCGTGCTTTCCCAGTCGCCAGTGGAGTGAGGCAGGGCTGTGTGCTTGCTTCCGTGCTTTTTAGCGTGATGTTCTCAGTCATGTTGTCAGATGCCTTCAACGAGGACAAAAACAGAAAGCTACCACACTGATGGTAAATTATTTAAGTTGAAAATGCCACAAGCCAAGGTTAAACTGGAGGGAAGGGAGAGTTTGGTGCGTGACTTCTTGTTCACTGATGATTGTACACTTGATGCAGCCTCTGAGGTTGAGATTCAACGAAATATGGATCAATTCTTTTACCACTTGTGATAATTTTGGCCTGAACACCAAGAAAACAGAAGTCCTTCCCAGCCAGCGTCACACCATCCATATGTGGAACAATCAGTTACAGCAAATAGAGAAATTTACAGTGTTGTGGATAAGGTCACTTAGCTTGGCAGTATACTTTTCAGGGATGTACACATAGATGATGAGGTTGATGCACATATTGCGAGAGCTAGTTCAGTGTTTGGGAGGCTCCAAAGGAAAGTGTGAAAGAGAAGAGGTATTAGACTGCCTACCAGACTGAAGGCCTACAGAGCTGTCGTGCTGACCTTATTGTTGTATGCCTGTGAAACCTGGACAGTATACCAGCGTCATGCCAGGAAACCGAATCGCTTCCATTTGAATTGTCCTAGGAAGGTTCTCAAGGTCACCTGGCAAGATAAGGTACCCAGGGGCAGCTAGATGGCACAGTGCATAGAGCTCTGGCCTTGGAGACAGGAGGACATGAGGTCAAATCATGCCTCAGACATTTGAAACTCACTAGCTGTGTGACCTTGGGCAAGTCACTTAATCCTGATTGCCTCACCAAAAAAAAAAAAAGATAAGGTACCAGACACTGAGGTCCTTTCTCAAGCTGAACTGCCAAGCATTTAAACTCTTACTATGTAGCATGCAACTCCAATGTGCTGGCCTTGTTGTTCAAATGTCAAAAGTACATTTGTCTAAAAGACCATTTTATGGAGAACTCACACAAGGCAAGCACTCACATGAAGGTCAGAGAAGCAGTACAAGGACACTCTCAAAGTCTCTCTGAAGAACTTTGGAATCAGCCTCCCAGCATGGCATGCCCACATCAAAGAAGGCACTGTGCTCTATGGGCAAAGCAGAATTATAGTAGCTCGAAAGAAATGTTAGGTGCACAAATTTAGAGATATCTCCACTTGAAATGTGCGTATGGACTATTTGTGCCTGACCTGTGGTAGAGCCTTCTGAGCTCGAATTGGTCTGTCAGCCACTGTGGGACACACTGCACCTTGACCCCAAGATAGTGTTGTCATTTTGGTCTTCATTAAGCATGAAGGACAACCACCAAATATGTACATTTACATATAAGAATAATAGCTCACATTTATATGTTACCTCCTATGTGCCAGGCACTGTTCTAAGCACCTTACAAATATTATCTCATTTGATCCTCACAACAGCCCTTCGAGGTAGGTACTGTTATTATCCCTTTTTTGCAGATGAGGAAACTGAGGCAAACAGAAGTGAAGTGACTTACCCAGGGTCACACAGCCAGTAAGTATTTGAGGACAGATTTGAACTAAGTTCTTCCTGACTTTGGGCTCAGGCTCATATACTAATATACTTCAGACTCGGGCTTATATACTAATACTATCATATATAAACATATGTATGTATACTTTATAAATACCTAAATGAAAAGGAAAAAGTTATAAGACCTCAGGGATTGAATTAAAGGATTCCCTTGTACAAGATACATTTTTGTAGTCTTTATGTCAGAATGAGGGAGGGGTAAAGTGATAGAGAAGTTGTTTACTCAGTTATAAAAGTCTTGCAAAGAAAGATGAACTGCAGGTGAGAACATAATTAGTGTAACTGAGTGCAGGGAGTGGGAAGAGTCCTACACTGAATCAGGTGACCTGTAATCTAGATCTAGCCCTGTAGTTACTGACTTGCAGTGACATTGGGTGTAGTCACTTAGCTTCACTAGATCTCACTGTCCTCATTTTAAAATGTGAGATTTAGACTGATCGTGTGAAGATAGAGGGCCAGCTCCAAAATTCTGTAAGGCTAACCCAGCTGGTATGCCCACATGCTGTAAGGCCAGCCTCCATCTAAATTTGTTTCTTTCTAGTAGTGTTTATGGCAGTCCTTTAGGGGATATTTTCATTATAGAAACTCATCTACAATTTTGTAATAGAATTAAATTATAAATTTCATTTTCTAAATCTAATATAACCTCTCCTAAGATATAAATTCCACTTGACACATGTGGAATAACTTCTCCCACATCTCTGCCCTTTCAAATCCTTTCCTTCAGGATGTAGCTCAGGTGCCACCTTTTCCAACCAACCCCCTTCTCAAAACCACCTGACAGTCCTTATCTCAGATCTCTCATACCCCTCTGTTTGAATTTGTAGAAATCCACTTTGTGGCTTACTGGACAGGAAGGAATTTGTTTTACAAAGCTAGGCCTGCCTGTAGTATATCACCTACAATTTGTATTTTGTAATCTTTTAAAGATGAATTTGCGATAGATTTTGTTTTGTCTTAAATAGGTAATACATATAATATACCGATTCGTTTGTGGATTTTGGATTCTCACCCTTTTGCGCCCCCCATATGCTTCTTGAAGCCAACTCCAAACATGGGAATCTCAGTGGGAAAACATGTGGATGCCCAGGGCAGAATATATCTGCCCTATCTACAAAACTGGAGTCATGTAAGATCCACTTAGTTTTTGTTTTAAAAATTTTTGTTTTTCCTTAATATTTCTGTTCCATACTGACAGTGCAGATAATGAAAGTGCCACATTTTCCTCCAGCTGTAATGGTTGAATAGCTTACCTTCTTTTAAAAGAATGCTTTGAAAGTAAGAGAGAATAAGTGAGGAGGTGCTGTTATGACATTTTAAAGAAAGAAGGATAAATAATATTAAACTTGATATAGATTCTGCTGAGAAAAAAATTATCAGAGTCAGTAAGGATAATTAGATTAAATTTTTGTGACATGAATTTGCAAGATGGAGGGTTTTTTCATGATTTATTTCTTAATATGTTGTTCTTCAGCTAACTAAAGTGGATGAGTAAATATTTGGGTAAAGTTTCAGAATTTATAAATAGTAATGTACTAGTTTTAGGTAGGAAAGATCCCCATATTGGCTTTTGTAAGTTGACATTTTAAAGTTTAAAAAAATCCTTCCCGTTGAATTACAGAACAGTTTCACAAATTACTTCCCATCCTGACTTTAAGTATCTGAAGAGCCAAGAACTTCTCTGAGCTCACTAGTTAGGTAGGAGAATAGAATTTAAAAGTTGAATTTTTATACAGAAAAATTCTGGTTTGCCATAGACCTCAGGTTATATTGTTGTTCACAAGAACAAACCCCAAAATCTGAAATGGTTTTGGGCAGAATTTTATTAGGTCATTTGGTAGAGAAGAGTGAGCTGGAAAGATGTGGCTCCCTCACTTCCAGGCTCTAGAAAGTTTACATTATATAGTAGTATTTGGACAAGGGCACCCACACAGTACACAGTTAAGCAGTTTTGCTGAGAGAACAACTTGAAAGCAAGGTAGATTGATATGGATATCATTAAATATAAACAGTAAAATTTGAGTGAAGCCAAAATACAAGCTTGGAAGACCCAACACAAGACTTGGGTATTTTGGGTGGATCCAAGACCTGAGGGAGCCCAAAATTCCTTGTAGCCATCTCTGGCCTTCCTGGAGAGTTACTGAGGTTAGGGTGAGGTTTTAGGTTCAAACAATCTCTTGTCACATAAAGTTAGGTTTAAACAGTAGAATGATTAATAAGTTTTCCTACCAATATAATAAAGCATTTTCCACAATATCCATAATAAATAGTTTCATCTGGATTAAAACCCAAACCTTTGTATTTGACTATTATATTTGTCAAATAACATTTATTAGTTATAGGAGAAGGAAAATGTTGATTCCCCCAAACTGATATTTGTATTAATAGTTAGTCATGTCCTCTTAGAACTAGAACAATATATTTCTTACCTATTCTTCACTGTCTTTTTTTTTCACCTTTTTAAAAACATATTGCTCTAATTTGACTTGCTTTCTATAATATGTCTGCTTGATGACTAATCTTAATGCTTCCTTTTTTTTTCTTACAATCACTAGCATAACTGTTAACATGGTATTTTTTGCTTTGACGTGGTTCTGTAAGATATTTGAGACTGTTGCTCATTTGAAATTCATGCTGATTTTAAATTTTTATTCAGTGCTTCCCTGTGATAGGCCATTACTGACCTTGATAATACATTTTTTCATAATTTGGGAACTTTTAGGTCTTAGACATGGTAACCATTATCTTTTTGTTTGTTTCCTAGCCTAAATCAGTCATCACTGGGTTAATCAGAGAAATGATTATCAAGTTTCAGGAGGAGCTTCCTCTGTACTCCTTATCTTCTGCCGATGAGGCTCAGCAGGCAGAATTGCTAGCCTATATTTCAAAGATCACTCAAGGTTTGTATAGATATATGTATATATATAATTTTTTTTTTGCTTTTTTGGCGAGGCAGTTGGATTAGGTGAATTGCCCAAGGTCACACAGCTAGTAAGTGTCAAGTGTATGAGGTTGGACTTGAACTCAGGTCCTCCTGACTCCAAGGCCAGAGCTCTATACGCTGCTCAGCCTAGCTGCCATCAGGTTTGTATTCTTGTAAGAGATATTAGAATGTTGTTGGAACTTTGAAACCTTACTGTTATTCTCTTTCTTCCCTCCATATTTTTAATTAAAAGTCACTGTGTGTCATGTCTGTATAAGTAATATCAGATAATGTGTTTACATATAAATATATTTATTATAATAACTATTGGAAAAGTGGTTCTTTGTACTTGGAAGCATTTAAGAGTCATATTCAGCATTGGTGTTACTGGCATTTTCCCTTCTAACGAGCAGACAGATTGCTACTTTTTTCTCCTACATAAATACGGTACTTATTGAAAACCAAGCTATCAGGTAAATTTCATCTATCTTTGGAAATTTGGAGAGATGATGAACTGAACATGTCTGCATTGTAGATATTACTAAAAAGCCTTTACATTTTTATTTTCTAAATATAAATGATAACATAACTTCCTTTAGAGACTTTGTTATCTCCTAATCAGGAATCATGATAGATGTATGAGTATGATGGTACAAAGGATCACCAGCAGCTGTTTGAAGACTGGCTTCTGTGACTAGGATTTTGTCACAACAAATTGACAAAATCTGTTGTGACAAAACCACTTTGTATAAGTTAAAGTGCCAGGTAAACATGTACAGATATTAATTTTTAGGACTAATGTTTTGTGAAACTAAAAAATTTAAATTTGATCAGTTTTGTCTTATTTCCTGAGGTCTGATATATTTTGAAAAACATAACAAGATACAAAATTCAGAATCAGATGTAATATTTTGGACATAGCCAAAATGGGAATTTGTTTTGTTTGAACATATTTGATACTACTAGGTCTTTGTTTTTCTTTTATTGTCATTGTTGTTCACTTTAGAGACTGGATAGTAGAAAGAAGGGGGCTTTTGGGATAGGGTAGCCAAAAAAAAGAAAGAAAAAAGGTCATTAAGAATTTTTTTTAAATGCACAAAAGACAGCAGAAAGAAGACCAGAAAGAATCACAGGTAAGGAGGACAGCTTTGAAAGTTATATGTTGAATCTATTTTGTATTTAATAAGAAAAGCGAGCTTTACATGATAGAAAGTTGTGGTTTCATGTACAGTAATTGTCATTTTCTTTTCTACTGTGTACTTGGAAATTCACATTTTATTTAATGTTTATTAGTTCAGAATGAAAAAAAGAAATGTAAAAAAAGTCAAAGATTTTCTGTATCTTTTTAAAATTTTGCTGACAAATTCTCATCTCTTTTTTTTAGGTATCTCGGATGTAAATTCCAAAAATCAAGAAAACAAAAGTGTCAGCAAAGTTACTGTGGTTGGAGGTGGAGAGTTGGGAATTGCATGTGTATTAGCAATTTTAGCAAAGGTACAAGAATTTTATCATAGTGGTTACTGATGTCATTGTTGAATGTATTAACAGTTACTGGGTTTACTTTTGTTTCGATTCAGATATTTGATGTGCAAAAAAAAATTTCAATTTCTCTTGAAAATTTACCTTTTTCCCTTAAAATATACTTAGTAAGTTGATTAAAAACAACTGAAAGCTTTCATCAGTGATGTTGCATAGTTAGCAGTTAGTCATGAAATATTCTTTGAAATAGTCATTTGAACAGTGTCCTCATTGTAATCAAAAGAAAAACTGCAACTGAATATCTGATTTAGTCACATAGATTCTCACATAGATTCTTTTGTGTCTTTTGTGAATCATTCGGCTTTTATTGAGCTTGCCAGTCTAATATCATCCTTCTCCCTTGATTTGATTTATTTTAGCTCTTTCTGACATTAGCATTTTAGAAAATGGTGACTTTGTTTTTGGATATGGTTCTTTTTTCTTTCCGGTTATACATAGTCCAGCCTTTGTGGGGTGTCTCAGCTGTTTCCTTAATTAACATTCACTGACACTGTTAACTCTGACTTCATAGCTTATGATTTATTTAGCTGTATTTTGTGAATGAAATACAGCATGCAGATAAATTGTATTTCTCATAGAGTTCATGTCCCTTTCACTGTTTCTTCACTTTGTAAATTATGTTCAGATGGATTAAATCCATCTTCTAAAACAGCTTTAAAAAAGTAAAGGTTCCATTAGGGAATTTCTCAGCCTGAGTTCCTGGAGATTCCAGGTGGATTCTCATCCACCAGCTGGATCTACTGATTGGTAGTCAGCTAACCTAAGTAGCCAAAATGAAAAGAAGCAGATTTATTAGTTGATAATAGCTTCACATTCCTCTGGCACAAATTTGGTTTATTTGCCTCTCCAGGCTCACTTAGAATACACAGCCAATTAGCAGCATCCTAGGGCAAGTTAGGATTCCTAAGTCAAGCATCTCGCTTCAATATTAGGGGTAGAGAAAGGTGGAATCTGCCCAGGGAAAAAGGAGAGGACTCTGGGGGAGTAATCATTTTGCAACTGGTGGGTTATCTGAATAAGAAAGCACTCCTTGTTTGGGGGCCAAAGAAGAGGAGCTGACCAAATGCTTTTACATTTGTTAAAGAAGTCCCTTTGATCTAAGTAAGGTAGCTGGGTTGAGGCAACTATTTATTCAAAGCTATAGACAACAGATAGTTTTTGCAGCAGTGAATGGGGCCATCTGGCTTTATTGTTTACACAGTTCTGTTTTATTTCTCTTTCTCTCTACTTAGTCTCAGTGAAGAGTAAACCCTTAGGAATATTACTTATACCTACCTAGAGATGGGAGTTGTATTTTTCATTTTTATTAACATTCTCATTTGCCCTCTAAATTCTCAGTTTTCAGCCAAGGTTTACATAGTCCCAGGCCAATAGGACTTATTTCTTTGAACGACTTTGAATTAACTATGATAGCCAGAAAATTAAGAACAAAACCCTTACAATTATTTTATATGTAGAAGGTAATAGATTCACACTATTTTCTGAGAGGCACTATGGCTTTATGGATAGAGAGCTGCTTGGAACCTGGAGGATTTGAGGCTGGTGGCCTCCCTCTTCTCTCATGCTGTCTGTGTGACCCTAGGCTTGTTATTATCTTATTAATCTCTCAGTGATTGAGGCAATTCTCTGTCTCTTAAGGCTGTAAATTTCAGAGTGGGTACATTTGTTGATGAAGAGAGTTTCTTCTTCTAGGATCCTATTCCCTACATCAGTGAAATCATAGGTCTAGTCTTTTGCAATTGGAATTTAACAAAAAGGTGAAATGAGCCAAAACTCTGACCAGGATAACATTTATTAACAGGTAACAGAGCTGTGTGCCTGTAAATGAGTCAGTGGCTTGCCTCCCTTTATGCCAAAGACCCCAAGCAAAAGGACAGTTCCCCTATTATAGGTTTTTGGTAGTTGGTTGTTGTACTTTGTTTTTGAAAAGGACCAAAATGGCATCACTATGTTGGGATCAAGGTAGTGTGTTCAACTGTGGTTGCTCAGATGAGTACGAGTTCAGAAGGCTCTACCATAGGCAGGCACAAATTGTCCATGTGAACGTTTGGAATGGAGGTGTGTCTCTAAATTTTTGCATCTAATGTTTCTTCTCTTTTCTCTTCTTTTTTTTTTTTAAGGTAGTTGGGATTAAGTGACTTGCCCAGGGTCACACAGCTAGTAAGTGTCTGAGGCCAGATTTGAACTCAGGTCCTACAGACTCCAGGGCTGGTGCTTTATATACTGCGCCATCTAGCTGCCCCTAACATTTCTTTTGAGCTACTGCACTTCTGCTTTGCTCATAGAGCCCTCTTTGATGGGGCGTGCCATGCTGGGAGTTTCTGTGCCAGTGTTTCCCATGTCTTGTAGTCAATTACTGAGTTCCTCAGAGAGGCCTTGAGAGTGTCCTTGTACTGCTTCTTCAGAACTTCATATGAGTACTTGCCTTGTATAAGTTCTCCATAAAATAGTCTTTTAGGCAAATGTGCTTTTGGCATTTGAACAGCATGGCCAGCACACTGGAGTTGCAGTCTCCATAGTAAGAGTTTAAATATTTGGCAGTTCAGCTTGAGAAAGAAAGGACCTCAGTGTCTGGTACCTTATCTTGCCAGGAGATCTTGAGAATCTTCCTAGGATAATTCAAATGGAATTGATTCAGTTTCCTGGCATGGCGCTGGTATACTCTTCAGGTTTCACAGGTATTCAACAATGAGTTCAGCACAACAGCTGTGTAGACCTTCAGTTTGGTTTCTTCTCTCCCATACTTTTCTTTTTAGCCTCCTAAAAACTGAGCTAGCTAACTCTAGCGATGTATGCATCAACCTTCTCATCATATGACTATCCCTAGAAAGTATACTGCTAAGTAAGTGAATTTATCTACAGCATTCAGTATTTCTCCATTTCTTGTAACTGATGGTTCCATGTATGGATGGTGTGGTAGAGAACTTCTGTTTTCTTGGTGGTAATTGTCAGGCCAAAATTAGCACAAGTGGCAAAGAATTGATCCATACTTTGTTGCATCCTCAGCCTCAGAGGCTGCATTAAGTATACAATCATCTGAACAAAAAATCACGCACCAACTCTATCTCCACTTTAGCCTTGGCTTGTGGCATTTTCAACTTAAATAATTTACCATCCCTGCAGTACAAAAGAACGAAGAACAGAGCAGGATAGATGACATCGTGGGATGAAGGGTAACGTGATTGGTTACAAGGCTGAGGTGTGGGAACATCACAGTTGGTTGGAAGTTTGGTAGTGGAGGCTAGCAACAACCTCCATTCTTCTCTCATGAGAGTAAGAACTGCTCATTGTTTGAGTACAGGTGTGAGACAGCAGCTCAGACTTTTGTACAGCAAACCAGACATCCTGGAAAGATAACTTGGTGGAATAAAAATTTTAGGCCTGTCCCTTCCTTTCACATACATTCTTCAAGGTCAGTTAAATCCCTTGAGACCAGAAGAGCTGGGTTCTTAAACTTCATCCATTACAGGCCCCTGAACTCTGAACTAAGTTCAAAGAAGAAGAACCATGACTTAAGCAGTTACAGGACAAAACTAGTTAATTGTAAATAGGATCAACAAATAAATGATACATGATCAGTCTTAATCTTCTCAAGTCTCTTTGCCCCTCTTTTATCATCGTATTTCTGTAGAATTCATCTGGCAAAAAATAAACACAAACAGTATTGCTTCTAGTTACATCTGTCTTATTCCCTATTCTTGTGCTTATTCTTCTAAGATGATTACCTAAGTTGATTGCCACAGAGATGTCCCTCTAACAATCAACCAATCAATAAATATTAAGTACTTATTATGTGCCAGGCACGTGCTAAGCACTGGGAATGCAAAAAGCCAAAAAAAAACCAGTCCCTGCTCTCAAGGAACTTGCAGTGTAACCTCCCATCTTCCCACACCCCACCTCTTACTCTCTGAACCAACATTTTCTGTTGATTCCAAGGGCAAGCAAGTGGATTTTTTTTTTGAGAGCTGAAATATTTGTAATTTTCATTGTCTTGAAGAGGATTTTTGTTCTTTTTGAAATACTGTTCTTGATGGATGAATGTTCACTGAACATAAAGAATGCAACTTAGTCAAACATTTGTTTTTTAAGTAGTGGTTGGAAAAGTGCTAAGCAACTTCACTTGTCTCTACAAGCAATCTGGACATATATTCAACAACGGGAAAAGATTCAGAGTCAAAGGTGGTACCAGGGTCGTTAGGGCTCTGAGCACCTAGTTAGGTATGTAGGTGCCTAGTGGATGGAGTTCTGGGCTTGGAATCAGTAAGACCTGTATTCAGATCTTGTCTCAGATACTTCCTTGGCTGTGAGATCCTAGACAAGTCATTTCATATCTTTGTGCCTCAGTTTCCTCATTTGTAAAATGTGAGGATTGGGTTTATTGGCCTTAGAGCCCATTCCAGACCTACCTCTGATCCTCAGTCCTTGAATCATCCTTTGTTATAGAAATCCAAGATGGTTTCTTTGCTAGATAAAGTGTAGAATCGATTTAACTATTGATTTGTTGATGTTTAAGTGTAGGATCTTAAATTAGCAAAAACTATATAGTTTGAGAGTCTGATTTGGGCTCATATTGATACAGTATTATATTCTTGGAAGTTTCCACAATCATCCATTAGTAAATCACCAATGGACATTTTTGCTTCTCTTCATTGTTTTCACTTATGTTGATGAATACGGGATCTCATCAATGTGGGCATTACCATTAATGGTAAAATCACCACCCGTCCAGACCTTCTTACCTAAACTAACTCTTGTCCTTGTCCTCCCATAAATCATCCACCAAGAGTCCACTTAGTCTGCTGGGAGTCCTCTGCTAGCCCATCTTGATGTTGTGGGGGTGGGCCATCCATTGGTTATTCCTCTGCTGTGACTATCCCACTTCATACATGTCTTTGATATCTTTTATGCTGCCTCCCAGTTCTCCTCCCACCATTGTCCTGTGTGAGACCTGCAAGAATTCTCTTCCTGCTGTTGCAATACTGGTGATATCTCAAGCCCTTATAGAGTTATGTCTAAGCTCCCAATTACTAGGGAGGCTGACTAGCTCTATTCAAGACAATAGCTCATGCCAAGAAGAACAAGAACACTTTTTCTTAGAGGCAGCTGTTGGGGCAGTAGATAAAAAACAGAGCCTGGAGTTGGGAAGACCTGAATTCAAATGCAGCCTTTATTAAGCACTTGTGTACAAAGCACTGGAGATAAAAAGACAAAATGAAATATATTTAAGGAGCTTTCAGTTTTTGGAGAGGTAGAGGGAAGGCTACAGGTACATAGATAAATCAGTGCAAAGTAATTCGAGGAAGAAAATATTCCACAGAAGGTGTCGCTTGAGTTGGGACTTGAAGAAAACTAATAATTCTGGATGCCCATAAAGTTGGTAGGAACCTACCACTCATTCTTGGATTCGACGGACATTTTTTAGTTTTCAAAGTGGAAATTTTGATTTCGAAAGGAAGATATAATCCCTAAGATCAGCAACAAAAATGTAATAACTTCTTTTTCCATGTCATTCTCCATGTGATTTTAAAATGCATTGTTGAAGGCTAGCCTGTTATATCAACAGATGGACTAGATTTAGGGTCTCTGATTTAAACCCTCTCAAAATCCTGCTTTTGAGCAGCCACACCCAAAGAGATCACATTTCTTAATTTTTGTGTTTATCAGTTGTTCAGTTGGTAGTCTTTTGACATTCTTATTTTGCAGAAATGAAGTCCTTTTCATCTTCAGATATCACATGGAATCTGTCTGTGTTGGTCATTGTTTAGCATGTTCTAAAATGTGCTAAATCTGGACCTGATCATTTCTGAAGTGAATGCCATTGTTTTCTTGCAGTATTGATTTTTTTTTTTACACAGGGTATTACAGATAAGGTGGTCCTTATAGACTTCTCAGAAGGAACAAAAGGAGGAACAATGGACATGGATATTTTTGAGCTGCAAAATGTGGAAATCAGCAAAGGTATGGCTATTCTGTTTGAGAGAAACTTGCTCTGTGTCCTTTGGTACTCAATCTGAAGAATTTTCAAGGAGAAAGGGATCATTTTAGACATTATATACAAAGGAAATAGAGTGGGAGAGGTTAAGTGACTTGCCCCCAAGTCTCATAGCCAGTTAATGACAGAACTGGAATTAGAACCCAGATCTCATTCTTTAGCGTATTGATTTTTTTTCCTATGCAATCCTGCCTCTTGGCAAGTGACTTTGTCCCTGTGGATGATTGTTCTTGGGTTTTATGCTGCATAATTGACAGCATTTACCGGTGGTTCAGATACAACTCAGTGATGAGGATATGATCCCCACTGCAGCATGTATTAGTGCTTCAGGCTTCAGTAGCTGCTGAGATATTCATGTTCAAGCCCTACTTTGATGCTGCTTTTGTTGTGTTTACAGGAGGATGGAAATAAGTTATGTGGAAACAATGCTTGAGTCTTCTGGGAGCCAAAAAAACTATGTATTAGCCAGTATAGAGTTTATTTAAAAAGAACATTTATTTATTTATTTATTTATGTTGAAAATAAGATGATTTTGGTTTTTTGTTGTATTGCAGTTCGTTAAGATTGTCTACTCGGTGTAAGACTGGATACTGAACATAAAAGGGTTTTAATCTGCAGTGGTGAAAAGAGTAACCCAAAATGAAATAATGGATCCTTGTTCTATTGAAGTATACCTTTCTCTCTAATTTTTCCACTTCTCCTGAAGTCCTATTTCTATATCTTACCATATGGAGGTCCTGGGTTCTCAAAGGCTATGCTAGGGGTAGTCAAGCTCTAGCAGATCCTATCAAGCTAGAAAGGTTTTGAGGAGAAGCCCAGGTATAGATATATCTGGAAGATTATTTTGGCAGCTGTATAAAGAATAAATTAAATCAGGCAGAGGCTAGAGTCAGAGAGACTATGAAGAAAGCTATTATAGTAGTTAAGGTCCGGTAACCAATTGAATATGAGGAGAGGGAACAGGAAAAGTCAAAGGTCATTTCTGAGGTTTTGAGCATCAGTGATAAATGAATTGTTTGGTTGAATGGCAGAGATATCATCTTATATCTCTTCTTTTGAGTCAGAGTTGGTCATCATAATTTTACAGCATTTAGTCTTGTTGGTCCTGTATGCATATATCACAGTTTGTTTAGCCATTCCTTAATTGATGGGCATCCACTTTGTTTCAGGATTTTACTACTACAAAACATACTGCTATAAATATTTTGGTATATATGGTAACTTTTGTTACTGACTTCCTTGGGATATATTCTATCAGTGGAGTCTGTGAGTCAAAGGGTATAAATATCATAGATACTTTCTATGCGTAATTCCAAACTGCTTTTGAGAATGGACCATTTCATGTCTCTACCAATGATGCATTAAAATACCTGTCTTTCCACAGCCCCAGTAGGAGGTGCTGAATTAGTTTTCACTAGGTTGGTACCTACAAAAGGGCCAGGTATCCAGGTCTCCATACTTGTCCTGAGAAAACATCTTTCCTCTGTGTGCTAGGTTAAGAACCAGTGATTCATAACCTTGTGAATTAGTCAAGTCAAATCTACAAACATGTATTCATTGCTGTGGGCAGGCCCTGTGCTAAGCCTTGAGGATATGAAGAAAGGCAAAAGACAGACTCTGCTCTCTAACGGGGGAAACAACATCCACACAGCTATGTACAAACAAGGTATAGACAAGATAAATTGAAGGTAATCTCAGAGGGGAGGCACAAGGGTCTGGAAAGGCTTCCTGTAGAAGGTGGTATTTTAGTTGACACTTGAAGTAAACCAGAGAAGCTAGGCTGAAATGAGGAGGAAGAGAATCCCAGGCATGAGAGATACCGGTGAAGATGCCCAGAGTTGGGAGATGGAGCAAGGGGGTCACTGTCACTGGAACTTAAGAGTATGTGGAGGGGATATAAGGTGGAGAACGACAGGAATGGTAGGAAGTGGCCAGGTTATGAGTGGATTTAACACCTGATTCACATCCACAGGAATGGAGTAGAAATTTTGATGGGCTTAGGAGAATGAGAGAATAAGAAATAATTTTTAAGCATGGGACACTTGGGAGATGGGTTTGGACAGGGTAGTGAGAGTATGCTGGAATCCCAGAAGGACAGAGAAGAACAGGGTAGAAAGGGAGATAGGAACGGTTTTTTCTGGTTTGGCCTTTGCTTCTTTTTTCTGAAGGGATGAAAAGATTTGTCTTTTAATATGTTAGTTAACTTCACACAGTGCCTAGAACATAGTAGTTATTTCATAGATATTTGTTGGCTGACTGGCTGACTTCTCCAACCCAAGTGGTGATTTGGGAGGAAGTGAGGGGTCAGGGTCAAATCAGCTGCACTGAGTTGACTTTTTGGAGAAATTTCCTTCTAGAAACCTGAGGAATATTTCTTAAGGATAGGGACAAGATTGCCTGTGTGAAGTAAACATTTCTTTCACATAACTGTTGCTTAACAGTATTTATTGAATTGAATTAAAATTTGGAAATTTACCATTTGTTGGAGGGGAGTGTCATGCACAATTTTCCTGATACTGCTTAATGGGAACTATGACTGAATCCAGAAAGAGTACAACTCTATTATAGACATTACCAAAAAGAAGTCACACCTTGGGTAAAGAATCACAAAATTGGAGATGATGCACCATGTGCATGTCTTCCCTTTTATTTCACCTAGAGTAGGTTTGGTTTGGTGTTATATACTTTGTACTTCATAAAGATTCATTATAGTATATGTCTTATTTTCATTTCTGACATTTGAAAGTCTCCAGAAAGAATAGTGGCCTTAGTGAACTTTTGGCAGGCCTTATGTGGATTCTTCTTTGGGAGAGCCATGGGGAGCCAGATTTTCCCAAGGGCCTTAGGTTATATCCTGAGTTATTTAAAACACTCTTTCAAATCACTAGTGAGCCATTTAGTGGATGCACCCTAGTGGATATGTTGTCTCATATGACTTGACATAATTATTGTGTTTTCCTGAGTCTCTTTTCTGAGATGCTGACGTTCCATAGTTTGTAACCGTATAACATCAGGGGGAGAATATTGTTGTTAAAGAGATGAATTTTTGTAGCAGTAGTTTAGGATCATTGGAAGCATGGCACAATTTCCCAAATACAGTCTATCCTGATTTTCTTTCTACTCATTTCTTGGTCCAGTTCATTGTCCATCTGGCCTATTGTCCAAAATATACATATCGATAGACTAATTCACTTGGATACCTGTTTGGCTGCTTACTATAATGTGGGCAAAATGTACTTCTGTCCTTTTTGTTTTAGACCAGACTTTTTCATTGCCATGGATTTCACCGAGGAAGCTTTGTAGTGTTTCAAGGTAATTAGTACAATAATCAAAAAGGAGATTTTGAAGGACCTTATCATCAATAAATAGCAAGTACTTCTTTTGTCTGGAATCTATGTAAGACATCGAAATTAGGGCCACTTACTCCAGCAATTGGTATGAGGGCTTCCTGGATTTGAAGAGTTTAAAATTGAAAATACTTACTATTGTCTCTTCAGTTCTTTCATGTGGCTGCAGCTGTATTTCCAAGTAATTATTATTATGTGGTAACCCAAGCAGCTACATTAGAGAAGGAGGTAAAAGGAAATCCATGTAAAAGATTTATGTGTCCAAAATAGATTTTAAAAATTGATTTTACAACTTTTTGGAGATAGAAGTGGAATAATGTGGGCCTGCAGACCCCCTGATTGTAGTGAGGTGGCAGTTCCAAAGATGGTTTTCCATTTTTGTATGGGAAGAGTCCCATTTCTGACATGTTCAAGATGCAAGCTTCCTCCTTTTTAGGGGTTCCAGGATAGTGCTTGGTGAGGAACAAAGTGATATCTGTTACCTCTGCTTTGAAAACCTACACTTTGGGATCTTCAGGCCCAGTAATTAAGAGAGGGGTATGAGGGTATGGGACTGACTCAAGGTTAGCTAATGAGGGGGAAACAGACCTTCCTCTCTGTGATGCCAGGTGCTGTGATGCGGCATGGGCCCATGTAAAAATTTATCTATGAAGTTACCAGGAAAAGAAGGTGGAGAATTTGGGGGCTGTTTCTAGGGCTAAAAGTGAAAAGCAAGGGACAGTTAACACTTGCAGAGTACATGTCAAGTAACATGGACAGAATTCCCACGAAATTCAGAAGAAACGCCAGGTTGAATGGCTTTAGGTTACTCTTCCACACGAGAAATTAAACGCCTTATAAATGTGCTTGTTTTTTTTCTCCCCTTTTGGATTTTACGTGTTAGTGTTAACTCAGATTTCATAGGGAAGAAACAATAAATTTCCAATATACAAAGATTCTAATAAGGCCTTACATATTACTGTAATTATAAGGAAACATGTATGCATGTTTATATTCTGTAACAAGCAGTATTGCTTCAACACATTCTTCATTGTGAGAAACTGTAGCACTTGTAGTTATAAAATTCTATGGAGCAAAACCATATAATAAGGAGGAATATAGAATTACAGAGATCAGACATTATAGAAAGCATTAAAACAGTTAATGTTTTGTTGACATTGTCACATATTCATGTTGACATTGGCAAGCATTTTTGGTGAGCGTCTGTCTACTGTTTTGAACACCTCGCATGTCAGTGACACTAAGTCATTGAACGACAATCTTTGCATTAATGTCTATCATATTCATATATGATTTTCATATATTTATGGGAGATACCTTGCCTGAGGAGAGCTTTTAATGGTACATTAAGTTCTTTGTATTTACAGTGTTGTTAATATGTAAATTCTTTTCCTAGTTCTTCTCACTTCACTCTGTATTAGTTCATGCAGATCTTCTCAGGTTCCTCTGACACTGTTCTTTCATAATTTCTTGTGGCACAATAGCATTCCATTGTGTTCATAGACCATAGTTCAGCTAATCCTCAGTTGATGGGCATCCCCTTTGATACCACAGAAGGAGCTGCCGTAAATATGTTTGTACATTTTCCTTTTTCGATTTTCCTCCTTTTGATTTCTTTA